CAGGCCGCGATGGCCGAGGAGCAGGAGGGCCCCGCCGCCGCCGCCGCCGCCGCCGCCCTCATCCGCCTCACGGCCAAGGCGCCCGGCGCCGCCGCGCAGCTCGTGCTGCGCGAGGCGTGCACCGTGCGGCAGCTCCGGGCGCGGCTCGCGCGGCGCTTCGGCTGCGAGCCCTGCCGGCTGGTGCTGGTCTTCTTCGGGCGCATCCTGCAGGACCAGGACTCGCTGCGCCAGTGCGGCGTGCGCGACGGGACGACGGTCCACCTGCTGATCCGGCCGCCGAAGCGGGAGGCGGTGCGCCCGCCCTCCCCGCCCGCCTTCGCGCCCGCGCCCTCCCCCGGCGGCCCGCCGCCCTCCGGAGGCAGCCCGCCCCCCGCCGCGGGCGGCCCGGGCTCCTGGGCGGCCCCGGAGACGAGCCCCTGCGGCGCAGGCTGGCAGCTGGTGCCCCCCTCGGAGACGGTGGTCCAGAAGGTGCGGCAGGTGCTCCTGGCCAACCCGGAGATCCAGCAGCTGGCCCAGCGGGTCCCGGCCGTCGGCCACATCCTCAACAATGCGGACATCGTGTGGGTGATCCTGGACAAGATGCGGGAGATCATGGGCTGGGTGCGGAGCCCCAGCCTGCCGCAGGAGCCGAAGAGCCCGGAGCAGCCCTCGGGGGGCCTCTGGAGCAGCGCTCCTGGCGGGGACAGCCCCTCGCGGCCACCGAGCAGCGAATCGCAGGAGCCGGGGCTTGGACGGGGACCGGACTCCTCTGCTGCCCCCAGCCCCTGTGGCCCCCTGGCATGGGGGTCCTGGCCGGAGCACGCGGGCCTCTGGGGGCCGGGGCTGCACGCAGAGGGCCAGGAGGGCTGCCTGCCCCTCTCGCTCAGCTCCACCAGCCTTTGCCCCGGCGGCTCCCGCCCTGACGAGGGTGGCCCCTTCAGCGGCTTGGCCCGTCCTCTAGAGCACGGCGCCCCCCTGCCCGCCCCCGGCGTGGCGGGCATCCCGGCCCCGGGCTCCGCAGAGATCCCCCTGCGGATCGTGAGCCTCTGCAACGCCTACACCAAGCACATGATGCTGTCGCTCATGTGGGGCTCTCTGCTGGCTGTGGGGGGCGGCCAGGCGGCGCCCCGGGAGCACGTCCAGCAGCAGCTGCTGCGCTTCTCGCAGCAGATGCGGAGCCCCGAGATGGTGGCTGCCATGGCCAACCCCAAGGCCATCCAGGCCTGGGTGCAGATGGAGCAGGGCCTGCAGACGCTGCTGGCGGAGGCCCCCGTGCTCGTGCCCTGGTTCATGCTGCGCCTGAGGGGGCTGGGGTGCTCGGCCGGGGCGGTCCCCTGGCCCCAGGACCCGCCGGGCCCGGGGCCAGCCGGCTCCGAATGAGGGCGCCCGCAGCAGCCCCTCCCCCCAGCAGGCCTCTGTGTGCATCCCCCCCCCCCCCCCCGCAGCAAGATGCAGGACGCGACACCCGCCGGGCTGTTCGGACAGATGGATTCCTTCTCCAGAGGGGGCTCTGGCCTCAACGGGGGAGCGGGAACCTTCTCTGGGGCCTCGCCCTTAACGGCCACCCCTCTGTTATAAAGGAGCGCCAGCCGAACTCTCTCATGAATGCTGCTCCTTTCCTTCCTTCACTTGTCACAGGCTGCACTCAGGCGCGCAGGGGCTCGGCCCCAAAATCCCTGGCCCCCAGGTGGGGACGTGGGCGGGGCCTGCTGGGGAAGGCGTGGGCCCGCGGGCGCTTCTCGGCTGAGAGGTCCTCTCCCCCCGCCCCCCCCCGGCTGCTTCCCACCCACGCGAAGCTGGCCTGCGCTGCACGGCGGGCGCCGCTCCTCCCGCGGCCGGCCAGGTCGGCAGGGCCGGCGCGAGGGTCCGCACTGGCAGGGGGAGGAAGGGACCCTGGCCCGCCACCCCTCTGCCTCTGCAGCCGGTGCTCCTCCGGGAGAGGGCCGGTTCTCCCTGCGTGCTGCGATGTGGTGATTTGGGTGCCGGCCGGCCGGTCGGCGGGGAGCAGGGGTGTGGGTGTTCCTGTCAGCCCCCACACGGCGGCCTGTGCCCGGCCATCGCTGGAGCGGCGCGTGGCCTCTGCCATGCTGGACTTCCCCCGGAGGCACCTCGAGAGCTGGAAGGCCCAGAGCAGCCCCAGGCCCTGTGGCCAAAGCCCTTCGGGGGCTGGCCAGTGTCCCAGGGCACGGGGGCTTTGGCCTTCAGGGGAGTAGCCAGGAAGTAGCGGTCAGGTTGTTTTGCTCCTTCGACACGGCCAGTGTTCCAGACGTGGAAGCAGGGCCCACCTTCCTTCTTCGCTGACCCCTTCCTGGGGACCCAGGCGTCCTTCGCCCAGCGGTTTGGGTTTCCGGCATTCCAAGACGGTTTAACGCAGCTGGTGCGATGTGCTGCTCCAACTGTGGGGCCGCCACTGTGTAGACACTCGGGCTGAGGGTCGGCAGCAGCTGCAGAAGGTGCGGGGGCACACTGCTTTAAAGCTGGGGGCTCCCATAATTCCTCCCCACCCCCATCCCTCGCAGTTCTCGGGTCGCCTCGATTCTACCGGCTTGACTTTCACCTATTTTTTTAAGATCTCCCAATTGCTTTTGCATCATTCCTTTTACTTAAAAATGTTCTACGGGTTACAGTTCACAAGAACATCAGCCATTCTGCCCCGGCGCCAGGTGGGGTGGGTTGCAAAATCAGGCAGCAAAAGCCGAGGGGAAACGCTGATTGTGCGCCAGGTGGGAGGGTGGGCCCTCAGCAAAGGGCTGCCGACGGGCCTGTGACACGAGTGTCCGTATGGGGTGTGTCCACACAGCCTAAGGTGCCTTTCCCAGAAAGTGCAGACCAGCCGGGGATCCTTTAACAGGATCGGGGGCACTGGGGTGGTGCGACCGCCCCGAAAGTGCTCCACGGGGCTCATGAGCAGTCCACGGTGGAGCAAGCTGGGGTGGGGGGGCTCAGAATGCTTGTGTCCCACCTGTGCAAACCCAGGAACTGCCTGGCCCACCCAGCTTCTGCTCTGGATGGTGGCTGGAGGCGCCCGTGTCCCACAGCCGGGCAGCTCCTCCTGGCGGCAGGAGGACCTGCAGGTTCTGCAGCCATTCCGGCCCCGCCGGTGCGGCCTGCGGCCTGGCGAGCGCAGCCGGTGTACTCTCCGGCTGCCCCCAGACCCGCTGCAGGACGCTCCCTGCACCCGACGGGCCTCTCCTCCTCTGGCCTTTGAAGGCGAGGATGCCGCACACCTGCCTCCAGTCTCCACAGTGCCCTGCCCGCCCGCCCGCCCGCCCGGGTTTCCAGCGTCCCCGACAGCGGCTGCAGAGCGGGCTTTAGGCCCCCATGGTGCCCTGGGGCCAGCTCATGGGGCCTGGCTCTGAGAACGTTCGGGGGGCCAGGTGCCCCCATGCCCCCACTTGGCCGGCCCTGGCTGCCGGTCTGCCCTTGCCGTGCCCCCACTCTTTCCAGGCGCAGCACGAGCCCCGTGCGAGCTGCGAGGCGCAGAGTCGGGACCGGGTGGGCTGCCGGCCTGGTCCAGCAACAGCGTGATTCCGCCAAGCAGGCCGCCCATTCCTTGCTCTTCCAGTCGCTCCAAGTTTACCCAAAGAGCTCCTTGGTGCTCCTTTCTCCCCATCGAAATGCATGAGGAGCAGGGCTGGATCTACCCACGCAGGGCTGGCCCGGCTCTCCGGCCGCACAACTGCCTGCCTTCGGCAAGCGGGAGGATAACAGAGGCGAGCCCCTCGGTCCCAGAATCGGTCCTTCCACAGCACCCCCTCCAGGCCAGAGGGAGCCGCATCCTGCCGGGGTAGCATGCGGGTCCTTTGGAGAAGCGGCACCCCGTCTGGCGGGTTTCAGCTTCGAAGAGAGTGAGCTGGCACAGCAAAGGCATAGGCTGCCGTGTAGGCACAGCGGCAGCCAGTGGAGAGGCGGCTTTCGTTCTGAGAAAGAAACTTCCCCTCGTCAGGCCTAGTGGCCGGGAGGTCCCTTCCGGCTCGCCCCGTTTCCATGCTTCTGTCAAGGCCCTGCAACTGCCAAGATGCTGGTTGCCATTATGGGAGGCGGTGACGCCGGCCTCTCCATGTTCTGAAGGACCTGGAGGGCTGGAAGCCAGTGGCCTGCACGCTCCGGGCGGCCTGGGGTCTCGCGACAGGCACGCCTCGCTTGTGCCTCTGCCTGGCCGGCCGGGCGCCTCACCCAGTGGTCCCTCCAGAGGTGCACCTGGCGCAGCCGCGCTCCCACGGGCTGCCCGTCCTGGAGCGCTGCGAGCACCCGCACGGCATGTGCACTCTCCCCCCGCCCCACATGCGGCCTCTGCAAATCTGCTGCTCGTTGGGCGTCCCGAAGAGCATTCAAAGCATGGCTTGCTCCCAGAGGCGGCGGCGCCAGGCTGCCCCTGGACACCTGGAAGGGGCTCTCCGCAGCCGCCAGGAGCGGGCTTCCAACGCTGCGTGCCAAGCTGGCCCTCGCAGGTGCCGAAAGGGGCGGAGGGCCGAGGGCGGGGGGGGGCTCAGTGAGCGGAGCCATGCTCGGGCACGGCGGGGGGGCACTTGGCCAACGCCGTCTGTCCCCAGCTCGCGGGTGCCCCAGCAAGCACTGCGAGAGAGGCAAGGGGGCCGGCCGCTCCCGCCAAGGACTCACTAGCTGGTTCCCTCGCCAGGGCAGGGTGAGCTGTGAGACCGCGCATTGCAGGTGCAGCGCCTCCAGAACAAGCCACGGGGGCCGGGGGGCTCGTGCCCGTGAGCAAGCTACCCGCGGATGTGCAGAAGGCCTGGCATGGCACAGGGATGCGTGCGCGGCCCCGAGTAGGCGGCCGGCCTGTTGTGCTTGCGGCTTCTGCAGCTTGCCGGGTCCTTTCGAGGTGCTGCAGCCGGAACCGAACCAGCGGCCTCAGCGTGGCGGCACCACGATCAGCATCGGTGGCAGATCCAGGCAGCCACCCCGTTTCCGGCCCACCTCTTAATTTTGCCCAGCAGGGGACAAAGCCCTTCCACAGCAGCTGTGCCAGGCCAAAGCGCTGTCCCTCATGCAGCCCGCCGGCCCCCCCGCCCCCCCAGCCAGTCCCTGCCCACTGGCGCCCTTCAGTGTGCGGGAGGCGGGCGGCTCCTGCAGCGTGACTCGCTGCGCGTGTGCGTTCACTGGCGTCACTCCTCGCCCAAAATGCAGCGGTGTCTAATTGCAAGTAAAAGGTTTGAAAGCGAGTGTGAATCACAGCCATTCCAAGTGCGATAACAGAGATAGGCCATGCAGCACAAGGCCGCGGGCCCTCAGCAGGCAGGTTCAAGTGGGCAGAGGGCCCGGGGAGGGGGCTTGGGCACGGCCGGCCTGCCGGCTCACGGTCGGTCACGGGGCCGAGCCTGGCAGGGGAGGGCCGGCCAGCCTCCTGGCGCTCTGTGACCTCAGTGGTGAGGTCACAGTCCAGCATGTCCACAGAGAGGGAATGCCGGGGGTGGCAGCCGGGGGGGGGGGGGAGAGGAAAATGAAGGCGCCTGCCCGGTTGTGAGCACACGAAGAGAGGGGCACCATCTGGCTGGTATGTGCGTTCTGGCCTTGGCCAGCGCCGAGACCACGGGGGGCAGCAGACCACTGGCCCCTTCTCGCCTCGCAAGCCGCACCACCCGGGACAGGGACGTCCCGCCCTCGTGCTCCTTCCGCAGGGCCTGCCGCTGCCGCCGGCCTTGGGGCAGCCATGTCTGAGAGCAAAGAGCCTGCCGGGAATGCCACCGGCACCCGGGTCGTGAAGGTGACTGTCAAGACCCTCAAGCGCAAGGAGCAATTTGAGGTGGCCGAAAGCACGGTTGTGCGTGATTTCAAGAAGATCGTCTCCGAGCGCTTTGAGGCCTCCTCCGAGCAGCTGTCGCTGATCTTCGCCGGCGAGATCCTCAAGGACCAGAGCACACTGCTGCAGCACAAGATTGGAGACGGGTCCAAAGTCCACCTCTTCATCACGTCTCAGAGGAGACCTCCGGGGAATCCGGAGCTGCTGCTGGGGAACGATGCCGCCACTGCCTTCCTGTGCGGGCCCCCCGCCAACGCGTCCCTCCCCGGCGAGCGCCCGTCGGGACCAAGCCTGGCACTGTCGGAGTGGAGCGGCCAGCCGGAAGAGCTGATGGCCTCCTGCCACGAGCTGGTCGCCCAGATGGTGGAGAACCTCCTTCTCCAGATCATCACCCTCAACCTGGATGCCTCCGCTCTGAACAGCAACCCGCTCCTCCTGGGCTTCCTCGTCGGGGTCACGGGCATGACCGTTCTGGGCCTCAACGTCGCAGATGTGTCTGATTTCGTGCATGAAGCCCCGGAGCAGGTCGTGACCCGGCAGGAGCTGCTCAGTGAGGCCATGAACCACCCGCTTGTGCAGAACCTGTTCGGCGACACAGAGCAGGTGCGGCAGATGCTCCTGTCCGTTCCTCAGATGCGGCAGCTGGCGGAGCAGAACCCGGAGATCCACCACATCCTGAACAACGCCGAGTTCCTGCGGGAGATGGTCGACGTGGCCACCAGCCCGGCCGCCCTGGACGAGATCATCCGGAGCCACGACCGCGCCCTGAGCAACCTGGAGAGCATCCCGGGCGGCTACAGCGCCCTGCAGCAGCTCTACAGTGACATCGAGGCCCCCGTGCTGGACGCCGTGCAGGCCCAGCTCCAGGGCCACCCCTTCGCCCCGCCGGAGGACAAGCCGTCCTTGGGCGGGGCCAGCCCCCTGGCCCGGACCGAGAACCGGGAGCCCCTGCCCAACCCGTGGGCTCCCCCGGCCAACAGCGGCGGGGACACCGTGTGCGGCGCCGACGGCGGCCCCAGCCCCGCCATTGGGCAGGGCTACGTCCTGCTGGCCTTGGGTCCCGGACTTCGGCCGGGGCCCAGCAAGTCCGAAAACGTCCAAGCCATGGTCCACCAGCTCACGGAGAACCTGGAGTTCATGCAGAGTGTGTCGGCGGCGCTCTCACGGCCCGACGGCCCCACGCAGGCTTTCCTGAGCCACCGCGGCTCCTCTGCGGGCCACGAGGGCCCCCAGCCGCCAGGGTGGGTGCAGCGGCTCCCCCCCCGAGCTGGCCAGGTCGGAGGCCGCGGCACTGCTGACCAACCCGCGGGCCGTCCGGGCCCTGCTGCAGCTGCAGATGAGCCTGCTGACCCTCGCCAGGGAAGTGCCGGACTTCCTGCAGGCCTTGGCGGACCCGGAGGCCGACCCCGAGAGCATGGAGGACTCCGACGAGGGGGGCAGCCCCCTGTCGGAGGCCGGGAGCCTGGAGCTGGAGAGCAGCGGATCCAGGACGGGCGAGGAAGAAGCCGAGGAGGCCATCGACGTGCACATGGAGCAGCCCGCCCCCGCGGCCCTCTACCGCCTCCAGCTGGAGCAGCTCAGCGCGATGGGCTTCCGGGACCCGCAGCGGAACCTGCAGGCCCTGATAGACACGGAGGGCGACCTCGGCGCAGCGATCGAAAGGCTAACGAACTTTCATGCCTCCTAGCAACAGATTTACCTTTGCCTCACGTAGGGTCACCTGACACACTAAATTCAGCAAGGTGGATATGACCCTGGCGTGCCGTGCGGCTCTGTCCCTCCCGCTGGGCCAGGCCGGGGGGGACGGCTCTGCCTGCAGCCCTGGGGACCGCCTGTGGGCGCCCTGCCCTGCCTTGGGACCCTGCCTAGGCGGGGCCGGGAGCTGGGAAGGGGGCCCGCAGGCCTGCCGGGCTCTTCCCGTGCCCTTTGGCTTGGCATGGCCCAGCCTCCACTGCCCGGCAGGCTGCTGCAGCTTGGGGGGTGGCTGGTGGGCGCCGCTTTCCTGCAGCCCTAAAGCGCAAGGGGGCCTGGCAGGTAGGCCCGCCTGCAGCGCCGAGAGTGTCGGGCTGGTCCTGAGCAGCCCAGTCGCTTCTCTCGCTTGTAGCAGCTTCTGCCTTGCAGCCTGCTGGGTGCCCGGCCAGGGCAGCCGCCCGAGCAGTCCCGGGGCAGAGCGCGGGGGGGGGGGCTTTGGGGGGGGCCCCCCACCCTTCAAAAGCCAGCACCCCCCCCCCCCCCACTAGCCCGGAAGCAGGGCATGGAGAGGAGAGGGGCTGCGGCCCCTCGGCCCGAGTGAGTCCTGTGGTCGATCCCCAGGGCAGGCAGGCTGCTGCTCTCAGGACTCGGGGCTGCTGCCGCCTGCACGGCGCCGCTGGCCCTTCTCGGAGGAGACGGAGCCTTTCCCGGAACGCGCTCCTGCCCGCAGGGCTCGACAGGCCGGGGGGGGGGGGGCGGCTCTAGAGCGCACAAAACATTGGGTGCTGCACGACCGTATCGAGCGGAGCAGCCAAAACTGGTCTTCTGGCGCAGCCCTGCAGCACCGTGTGCCCTGGGCGAAGCGCGTTGGCGCTGTGCGGCAGGAAGCAGTCCAGGCAGGCATAACATTGGCGCAGCCGGGAAGAGGAGGATGCAGGGCAGTCTCCCCGCTTCGTAGTGCCTCGAGCGCCACCTCACGGAGCTGAATGGCGGGAGATTCGGGGCAGAGGAGGAGGGAGAGCGCCGGGCGCAAGCCAGGTTATGGGACTCTGATGCGCACGATGCCGTGATGGCCACGAGAGGGAGCCGGGCACATTCCCGCCGGAAAGGGCTACTGACCCTGATGGGGCCGGGCTTCCCTGTGGAATTTCATGGGCAGGCCCTCAATTTGAGCCGAAAAGTTTAGCGGCCCCATTGGACACAGCGCTACTCAAACGAGCGCATTTCTGGCTCTTCCTAGTGGGGAAATTGTCCCCGCAGGCCAGGCCAGGCCAGGCGAGGCGAGGCGAGGCCATCCGGAGCAGCGCTTGCTGCAGCTGCGTTTTTGTCAGGCCAGAGAGACAGTGCGCACTCGGTTCAGGTCAGGAGTCGTCAAACCTTTTCCACCCTTGGGAAGATTTGGGGATTGGAGAAATCGCTGGGGGGGCCAAACAGCTCCCACCAAGGGCGTGGCTGGTCACATGGCCATGGCCATGACCAGGGGGGCCGGCTTGTCCAGCGCGGCAACAGGGAGGAAGGAGGGGGCTGGGGGTGGAAGCAGACGGCAGGAGCCCCGCCAGGGCCCGAGGGACCGCCCTCAGCCAAGCGTCCGGCTGCAGAGCCGGCGGGGGGGGGGGGGGGGAAGCGGGGGGCGAGGGGCCGACCGGAGACCACGCGCGACCGGGGCAGGGCGGGAGTCAGCAGCCGGCGCAGCAGTGCAAGCGGGAGAGGGGAGCTTGCGATCGGGAAGCGCCAGGGGCAGGGCGGCGAGCAGGACGGAAGCGAAGTCCGGGCGCGGGAACTCAGTCGGCGCGAGACGGAAGCGAGAGGAAGCGCGGCAAGTCAGGCTGCCTTGGTCGCTGGGGGAGGGGGGGGCACTTCGGAGCCGCCCCTCCCGTGGGGCTCCCGGGGCTCCCAAGCCCGGGCAGCTGCAGATGATCGCGGGGGAGACCATCAAGCCGGGTCCCCACACTGCCCAAGTGCCCAGGCTGGCCACATGCAGGGCCTGGATGAGCTCCCAGCACGGCGACCTCCCCCTTGCCCACAGAGGCACCGGGAGCCGGCTCAAGTTGCGGGGTGACGTTTCTTGGAGGGGGGTGGGCCCAGGAGGGAAGGGCTTCCTTGCTGGATCCTGGGAGGGCCTCAGTGGTACCGGCGGGCCAGGCGTGGGCCACCAGCTTGTCTGGTGCCTGGTAGGAAGCTTAGCAGGTGGCCGTGACTTCTATCCCAAGGTAGACTCCCAAGAGGCTAATTAAAATATGGCTCAGAAGCTGGAAGGGAGAAGGGCCACCAGAGACTTGGCTGCATGGCTGGCCCCCTCCTACTGCCCCCACCCCTGCAACCTGCAGCCCCATCTCCTCCTAGAAACGGGGAAGGGGGAGGGTGTCCCCCGCGGCTCCTTTGATCCTGTTGGGGGAATCCGGCAGAAATTGAGTTCCCAGCCGCCCAGCTTGGCTTGGAGGCACTGCTGCTGCGTGGCTGCTCTGCCCCACGCCCGCCCGCGAGGCTGCCGGGCCCCTCTGCGGGTGGGGGCAGCTGCCCGGCATGGCAAGGGGGCCAGGAGGCAGCAGCTCCTTAGGGGGCCGAAGGGCGCAGCGCCCAAAACTCCCCCTGTGGGGGCTGGGGCCAACTCGCTTGCCTGCAGGGCTGCCCTTGGCCCCTGGCCCAGCCTGAGGCGGAGCTGCTGGGGGGGCTGCATGGGGGGGGATGGCCCCGGTCCAGAGCCCTCCCAGGGGCACCGCTCCCCTGAGCGCCTGGACCACACCCCCGGGAGCCAGCTGGCCTCGCTGGTCAGGGGCTTCCCCGGCCCCCCTCAGGGTGGCAGTGATGCCCCTGCCCTTTTCACCTGGGAGGTGAGACCATCAAGCCGGGTCCCTACACTGCCCAAGTGCCCAGGCTGGCCACATGCAGCACCTGGATGAGCTCCCACCAAGGCGACCTCCCCCCTTGCCCACAGTGACACCCAGAGCCGGCTCAAGGTGCGGGGTGACGTTTATTGGAGGGGGGTGGGCCCAGGAGGGAAGGGCTTCCTCAGGGCTGGCTGGCCTGGGACGGCCTCAGTGGTACTGGCTGGCCCTGGCGTTGGATGCCACATTGACCAGCTACTGGTACGCAGAGTGGTGGGTGGGAATGAAGTGATTCCTGAGGTGGTCCGCCAGGTGGCCAATGAGAGTATTGCCCAGAAGCTGCAGGAGAAAAGGGCAGCATGAGAACCCCTGTCCTCCCCCCCGGCCCCCCACCCTACATCCACGTCTTCTCCCAGGAATGAAGAAGGGGGGGTGTCCCCCGCTGCTCCCTTGATCCTGTTGGGGGGATCCGGCACGAATCGAGTTCCCAGCCGCCCAGCTTGGGTCCCCCTTGCCGCTCATGAGGCCGGCCGGCCCTGGAGGTGGGTATTCGGGTCCCGCCTCAGCCAGGCGCTCCTTGCTGGAACAGGGCCGTGTCCGCCGCTTGCTGGGGCAGCAAACTGAGCTGCTGCGGCAGGAGGTCGCTCGATTCCCAGGGTGGTTCCGGGCAGGCTGGCTGAACTGCTGTGGGGAGGAGCCGGGCCCATTCCGGGGGCTGGGGAATGGCCCAGCGATTGATTGGACGGCCGGTCCGGACCTCCCGAGGTCCCTGGGCATGGTGGCCCCACCCCGGAGAGGGCTTGCCATGGGGATCATGTCGCCCCTCTGCAGAGGGGAATGGAAACAGGCGTTCTTCTGTGCAACCCCTCCCGGCCGCCCTCGGGCAGCGGGACCACAACTCACCCTGAAGCTCTGATCCATGTGCCACTCGCTCAGCTCGGGAGAGGGCTCCTCGATGTGGGCTAGGTCCCCACTGGTGTCTGCGAAGGTGGTGAGCACCTTCCTGCTGTGCACCGGCTCCATGGCGTAGCCTGAGACGGCAGTGGCACTGACGATGCCCTCAGAGTTTGTGAAAACCCTCAGGGTCCAGGGGTAGGCAATCAGGAGTCTGCAAAACAGACGTGGAGAGAGAAGGGGCAGCTGCTTCTCCTGAGAGCGGAGGGGGCCGGGCTGGTCCTACCGTGCCAGGGCCGTCTCTGGGAGGAAGGCGATCGCAACCTCTGCCCAGGGCAGTCCCTGAGCTGCTTCTCTTCGGCAGTCCAGAGTGCAGTGGCGGAGGGCTGGAGTGGACGTTCCCGGCAGCTGGGAGAGCGTCTGAGCTGAGGAGTCCTCCCCGTGAGGCTTTTGTACCCCGCACCCCACGTCCTGCCTCCCGCCCTCCCTCCCAGCGCCTGGGTGGGGCCGGAGCACCTGTGGAGGGCCTGAGGCAGCTTCACCTTCCTGGGTGGGCCGGCTGCACACGGTGTCCGGATCGGGCCGAGCTGTGCGCAGGGCCAAGGGATCCCCACCTGTTCCGAATGAGGACGGACGTCTCGCCGCCGGGATGCTCAGCGTGGGCGTTCCCGGCCCGCCCCGCGTCTCGCTGCAGGGATGCCCAGCAGAGGAGCCAGGCTGCCCTTCCTGTCCGTCGTGCCTGGCGCAGGCGGTGGCTCCTCTCCACTCCAGAGCTGCAGCCCCTTGGGGCAGCCCAGCATTACGCAGCGCACTGGGCCAGCCGCAGGGCCGGGACGGCCGAGCTGGGGCATCCCCGCTGCAGGTCACCTGTATGCCAGGTGAAAGCCCCATCCTGGCGGAAGGTGCCGGCCCAACCTGCAGGTTCCTTTATTTGTTTTTAAATTCTTTATTTCCTAATACACATGGCACTGAATCGCCTAGCAGGGCTGTCTGAGCAGGTAGCAGCATTAAAAGGCATGGATTGGAATTAATTGATTTATTAGGGATTGCAATTACAAATACGGGGGAGGGCGGGAATCTGCCCGCGCAGAGGGAGGTCTTACCCTCTGGTGTTAAATCCAGGTCTCAGATACGCGTGAAAGAGCACAGCCTTTCCCGGGTCCCGAAATGGGAATCGTGCTGCAGGTAAGCCAGGCACCCCGTGGAGGGGCATGTCTGGACTGGCTGGGCCTGCACACCTGTGGGCTCCCCAGAGGGCGGGGGCAGAGGTCTGGGA